GTGTGTCGTCCACTGTGGCATCTGTCACATGGATGGAATCTGGAGCACCACTCTCGATCTCTGGCACCGCCAACTTTTCTCCCTCCTGCAGGATCGCTACTGAAGCACTCTCCCTGGGCTTGAAATTCTCCACCTGGTCATCCACAGCCACCTTGGCCTGCTCTATGCTCTCTTCCTCCTTGATTTCCTCGTGTGCGGGTAAGACGTCATCCACTTTCGCGGTTGGTACTTGAGCTACAACTGGCTCGGCTGGTTGCACCTCTTTGGCATCCTCTTCAGAAGCCTCAGGCACGGCCTCTGTCTCGGGAACGGCCTCAAGCACAGGCTGTGGCTCCTGGACTTCTTCGTTCCCCGACTGTGGGAGTTCTTCTACTGGGACAGCAAGCTCGACCTCGCGTTCGGAAACTTCATGCTGCACCTCGACTTTGCTTTGCTCCTCTTCCACGTTGTCGTGAATGTCCTCACTGGCAGGAGGTGCTCGCTGTGTGTCGTCCACTGTGGCATCTGTCGCATGCATGGAATCCAGTGCACCACTCTCGATCTCTGGCACCGCCAACTTTTCTCCCTCCTGCAGGATCGCGACTGAAGCACTCTCCCTGGGCTCGACATTCTCCACCTGGTCATCCACAGCCACCTTGGCCGGCTCTATGCTCTCTTCCTCCTTGATTTCCTCGTGTGCGGGTAAGACGTCATCCACTTTCGCAGTTGGTACTTGAGCTACAACTGGCTCGGCTGGTTGCACCTCTTTGGCATCCTCTTCAGAAGCCTCAGGCACGGCCTCTGTCTCGGGAACGGCCTCAAGCACAGGCTGTGGCTCCTGGACTTCTTCGTTCCCTGACGGTGGGAGTTCTTCTACTGGGACAGCAAGCTCGACCTCGCGTTCGGAAACTTCATGCTGCACCTCGACTTTGCTTTGCTCCTCTTCCACGTTCTCGTGAATGTCCTCACTGGCAGGAGGTGCTCGCTGTGTGTCGTCCACTGTGGCATCTGTCGCATGCATGGAATCCGGTGCACCACTCTCCATCTCTGGCACTGCCAACTTTTCTCCCTCCTGCAGGATCGCGACTGAAGCACTCTCCCTGGGCTCGACATTCTCCACGTGGTCATCCACAGCCACCTTGGCCGGCTCTATGCTCTCTTCCTCCTTGATTTCCTCGTGTGTGGGTAAGATGTCATCCACTGTGGCGGTTGGTACTTGAGCTACGACTGGCTCGGCTGGTTGCACCTCTTTGGCAGCCTCTTCAGAAGCCTCAGGCACGGCCTCTGGCTCGGGAACGGCCTCAAGCACGTGCTGTGGCTCCTGGACTTCTTTGTTCCCTGACTGTGGGAGTTCTTCTACTGGGACAGCAAGCTCGACCTCGCGTTCGGAAACTTCATGTGGCACTGCGACGTTAGTTTGCTCCTCTTCCACGTTGTCGTGAATGTCCTCACTGGCAGGAGATGCTCGCTGTGTGTCGTCCACTGTGGCATCTGTCGCATGCATGGAATCCGGTGCACCACTCTCGATCTCTGGCACCGCCAACTTTTCTCCCTCGTCCAGGATCGCGACTGAAGCACTCTCCCTGGGCTCGACATTCTCCACCTGGTCATCCACAGCCACCTTGGCCGGCTCTATGCTCTCTTCCTCCTTGATTTCCTCGTGTGCGAGTAAGACGTCATCCACTGTCGCGGTTGGTACTTGAGCTACAACTGGCTTGGCCGGTTGCACCTCCTTGGCAGCCTCTTCAGCACCGTCAGGCACGGCCTCTGTCTCGAAAACGGCCTCAAGCACATTCTGTGGCTCCTGGACTTCTTTGTTCCCCGACTGTGGGAGTTCTTCTACTGGGACAGCAAGCACGACCTCGCGTTCGGAAACTTCATGCTGCACCTCGACTTTGCTTTGCTCCTCCTCCACGTTCTCGTGAATGTCCTCACTGGCAGGAGGTGCTCGCTGTGTGTCGTCCACTGTGGCATCTGTTGCATGCATGGAATCCGGTGCACCACTCTCCATCTCTGGCACTGCCAACTTTTCTCCCTCTTGCAGGATCGCGACTGAAGCACTCTCCCTGGGCTCGACATTCTCCACCTGGTCATCCACAGCCACCTTGGCCGGCTCTATGCTCTCTTCCTCCTTGATTTCCTCGTGTGCGGGTAAGACGTCATCCACTGTCGCGGTTGGTACTTGAGCTACAACTGGCTCGGCCGGTTGCACCTCCTTGGCCGCCTCTTCAGCAGCCTCAGGCACGGCCTCTGTCTCGGGAACGGCCTCAAGCACATGCTGTGGCTCCTGGACTTCTTTGTTCCCCGACTGTGGGGGTTCTTCTACTGGGACAGCAAGCTTGACCTCGCGTTCGGAAACTTCATGCTGCACCTCGACTTTGCTTTGCTCCTCTTCCACGTTCTCGTGAATGTCCTCACTGGCAGGAGGTGCTCGCTGTGTGTCGTCCACTGTGGCATCTGTCGCATGCATGGAATCCGGTGCACCACTCTCGATCTCTGGCACCGCCAACTTTTCTCCCTCGTCCAGGATCGCGACTGAAGCACTCTCCCTGGGCTTGACATTATCCACGTGGTCATCCACAGCCACCTTGGCCGGCTCTATGCTCTCTTCCTCCTTGATTTCCTCGTGTGCGGGTAAGATGTCATCCACTGTGGCAGTTGGTACTTGAGCTACGACTGGCTCCGCCGGTTCCACCTCCATGGCAGCCTCTTCGGCAGCTTCAGGCACGTCCTCATGCTCGGGAACGGCCTCAGGCACAGGCTGTGGCTCCTGGACGGCTTCGTTCACCAACTGTGGGCGTCCCTCTACTGGTATGGCAATCTCAACCTCGCGTTGGGAAACTTCATGTATCACTGTGACGTTGGTTTGCTCCTCTTCCACATTCTCGTGAATGTCTTCACTGGCAGAAGATGCTCGCTGTGTGTCCTCCAGGGTGGCATCTGTTGCATGCATGGAATCCGGTGCAGCACTGTCAATCTCTGGCACCGCCAACTTTTCTCCCTCGTCCAGGATCGCGACTGAAGCACTCTCCCGGGGCTCGACCTTCTCTACCTTGTCATCCAGAGCCACCTTGGCCGGCTCTATGCTCTCTTCCTCCTTGATTTCTTCGTGTGTGGGTAAGATGTCATCCACTGTGGCGGTCGGTACTTGAGCTACGACTGGCTCGGCTGGTTGCACCTCTTTGGCAGCCTCTTCAGAAGCCTCAGGCACGGCCTCTGTCTCGGGAACGGCCTCAAGCACAGGCTGTGGCTCCTGGACTTCTTCGTTCCCTGACGGTGGGAGTTCTTCTACTGGGACAGCAAGCTCAACCTCGCGTTCCGAAACTTCATGCTGCACCTCGACTTTGGTTTGCTCCTCTTCCACGTTGTCGTGAATGTCCTCACTGGCAGGAGATGCTCGCTGTGTGTCGTCCACTGTGGCATCTGTCGCATGCATGGAATCCGGTGCACCACTCTCGATCTCTGGCACTGCCAACTTTTCTCCCTCCTGCAGGATCGCGACTGAAGCACTCTCCCTGGGCTCGACATTCTCCACCTGGTCATCCACAGCCACCTTGGCCGGCTCTATGCTCTCTTCCTCCTTGATTTCCTCGTGTGCGGGTAAGACGTCATCCACTTTCGCGGTTGGTACTTGAGCTACAACTGGCTCGGCCGGTTGCACCTCTTTGGCATCCTCTTCAGAAGCCTCAGGCACGGCCTCTGTCTCGGGAACGGCCTCAAGCACAGGCTGTGGCTGCTGGACTTCTTCGTTCCCTGACTGTGGGAGTTCTTCTACTGGGACGGCAAGCTCGACCTTGCGTTCGGAAACTTCATGCTGCACCTCGACTTTGGTTTGCTCCTCTTCCACGTTGTCGTGAATGTCCTCACTGGCAGGAGATGCTCGCTGTGTGTCGTCCACTGTGGCATCTGTCACATGGATGGAATCTGGAGCAGCACTCTCGATCTCTGGCACCGCCAACTTTTCTCCCTCCTGCAGGATCGCGACTGAAGCACTCTCCCTGGGCTTGAAATTCTCCACCTGGTCATCCACAGCCACCTTGGCCTGCTCTATGCTCTCTTCCTCCTTGATTTCCTCGTGTGCGGGTAAGACGTCATCCACTTTCGCGGTTGGTACTTGAGCTACAACTGGCTCGGCTGGTTGCACCTCTTTGGCATCCTCTTCAGAAGCCTCAGGCACGGCCTCTGTCTCGGGAACGGCCTCAAGCACAGGCTGTGGCTCCTGGACTTCTTCGTTCCCCGACTGTGGGAGTTCTTCTACTGGGACAGCAAGCTCGACCTCGCGTTCCGAAACTTCATGCTGCACCTCGACTTTGCTTTGCTCCTCTTCCACGTTGTCGTGAATGTCCTCACTGGCAGGAGGTGCTCGCTGTGTGTCGTCCACTGTGGCATCTGTCGCATGCATGGAATCCAGTGCACCACTCTCGATCTCTGGCACCGCCAACTTTTCTCCCTCCTGCAGGATCGCGACTGAAGCACTCTCCCTGGGCTCGACATTCTCCACCTGGTCATCCACAGCCACCTTGGCCGGCTCTATGCTCTCTTCCTCCTTGATTTCCTCGTGTGCGGGTAAGACGTCATCCACTTTCGCGGTTGGTACTTGAGCTACAACTGGCTCGGCTGGTTGCACCTCTTTGGCATCCTCTTCAGAAGCCTCAGGCACGGCCTCTGTCTCGGGAACGGCCTCAAGCACAGGCTGTGGCTCCTGGACTTCTTCGTTCCCTGACGGTGGGAGTTCTTCTACTGGGACAGCAAGCTCGACCTCGCGTTCGGAAACTTCATGCTGCACCTCGACTTTGCTTTGCTCCTCTTCCACGTTCTCGTGAATGTCCTCACTGGCAGGAGATGCTCGCTGTGTGTCGTCCACTGTGGCATCTGTCGCATGCATGGATCCCAGTGCAACACTCTCGATCTCTGGCACCGCCACTTTTCTCCCTCCTGCAGGATCGCGACTGAAGCACTCTCCCTGGGCTTGAAATTCTCCACCTGGTCATCCACAGCCACCTTGGCCTGCTCTATGCTCTCTTCCTCCTTGATTTCCTCGTGTGCGGGTAAGACGTCATCCACTTTCGCGGTTGGTACTTGAGCTACAACTGGCTCGGCTGGTTGCACCTCTTTGGCATCCTCTTCAGAAGCCTCAGGCACGGCCTCTGTCTCGGGAACGGCCTCAAGCACAGGCTGTGGCTCCTGGACTTCTTCGTTCCCCGACTGTGGGAGTTCTTCTACTGGGACAGCAAGCTCGACCTCGCGTTCGGAAACTTCATGCTGCACCTCGACTTTGCTTTGCTCCTCTTCCACGTTGTCGTGAATGTCCTCACTGGCAGGAGGTGCTCGCTGTGTGTCGTCCACTGTGGCATCTGTCGCATGCATGGAATCCAGTGCACCACTCTCGATCTCTGGCACCGCCAACTTTTCTCCCTCCTGCAGGATCGCGACTGAAGCACTCTCCCTGGGCTCGACATTCTCCACCTGGTCATCCACAGCCACCTTGGCCGGCTCTATGCTCTCTTCCTCCTTGATTTCCTCGTGTGCGGGTAAGACGTCATCCACTTTCGCAGTTGGTACTTGAGCTACAACTGGCTCGGCTGGTTGCACCTCTTTGGCATCCTCTTCAGAAGCCTCAGGCACGGCCTCTGTCTCGGGAACGGCCTCAAGCACAGGCTGTGGCTCCTGGACTTCTTCGTTCCCTGACGGTGGGAGTTCTTCTACTGGGACAGCAAGCTCGACCTCGCGTTCGGAAACTTCATGCTGCACCTCGACTTTGGTTTGCTCCTCTTCCACGTTGTCGTGAATGTCCTCACTGGCAGGAGGTGCTCGCTGTGTGTCGTCCACTGTGGCATCTGTCGCATGCATGGAATCCGGTGCACCACTCTCGATCTCTGGCACCGCCAACTTTTCTCCCTCCTGCAGGATCGCGACTGAAGCACTCTCCCTGGGCTCGACATTCTCCACCTGGTCATCCACAGCCACCTTGGCCGGCTCTATGCTCTCTTCCTCCTTGATTTCCTCGTGTGCGGGTAAGACGTCATCCACTTTCGCAGTTGGTACTTGAGCTACAACTGGCTCGGCTGGTTGCACCTCTTTGGCATCCTCTTCAGAAGCCTCAGGCACGGCCTCTGTCTCGGGAACGGCCTCAAGCACAGGCTGTGGCTCCTGGACTTCTTCGTTCCCTGACGGTGGGAGTTCTTCTACTGGGACAGCAAGCTCGACCTCGCGTTCGGAAACTTCATGCTGCACCTCGACTTTGCTTTGCTCCTCTTCCACGTTCTCGTGAATGTCCTCACTGGCAGGAGGTGCTCGCTGTGTGTCGTCCACTGTGGCATCTGTCACATGGATGGAATCCGGTGCACCACTCTCGATCTCTGGCACCGCCAACTTTTCTCCCTCCTGCAGGATCGCGACTGAAGCACTCTCCCTGGGCTCGACATTCTCCACCTGGTCATCCACAGCCACCTTGGCCGGCTCTATGCTCTCTTCCTCCTTGATTTCCTCGTGTGCGGGTAAGACGTCATCCACTTTCGCAGTTGGTACTTGAGCTACAACTGGCTCGGCTGGTTGCACCTCTTTGGCAGCCTCTTCAGAA